TCGATAACCATTTCATTTTTAGTTTTTAGTTTAAAAACATGGTTGTCTGATAACCAATTCGTTTTTCTGTTTTTTCGCAAACCATTTTAAAACTCTATATAAATTAAAATATATATATATATAGTTTTCAAAAATGGATTTTTGTTTTTCAAAATTTGATTTTTTCTTCTAATACTCAACTTTTTTTTCTTTCTCATGTTTGTCTTTAAAAATTTTCTTTCTCATTCTAAAATTTGTCTCTTCTAAATTTGTCTCTACAAAATTTATTTCTCTTCCACTCTCAAATTTTCATATTTTGAATATTTATTATTATTTATCTCTCTCCAAAATTTTCATATCTATCGATTTTTTTTAACAGACCAGTTTTATTTATCTCTCTAAAAATTTAATATTTTTTTCGAACTTTTTTCTCTCTAAAATTTCGTCTTTTACAACTTTTTTTTTTTCTTCCTAATCTATTTGTTCGTCTAAAATTTATATTTGTATTTATTTATTTGAATCTTGTTTTTATGTCTAAATTTTTTTTCACTATAATTTTTTTAACATATCTTTTCCTCTCGACTTTACTTTTTTTCTTTAAAATTTTTCTCTTGTTGTCTCTTTAACTTTTCTTTCACTATTTTAAATTTTTTTTTATTTATCTCTCTAAAATTTATCTTCCAAAAGTTTATTTATATCTCTCTAAACTTGTATTTTCATGTCTCTACGGATGACAAAAATTTCCGCAAGGTGGGGCCCAGAAAATAGGAAATGCATGTCCGGATCCCATCCTCGATTCCATTTTTAAATAATTAATATATATTTATTACACGTTTTTATTTTTTAATTCTAAAAATTATTAAAAACAATTATAAAACCGATAATTTTTCTCGAGAACATCTCTCGAACCGAAAGACGAGGTGGGGACGGGGATTAAAAATTTTCCGAGCACGAGAATAGGGGAGGACATCCTCACTCGCACCCACATTGTCATCTCTACCCTACATGAAATTTTCTCTCTCTAATATTGTATTTTGAATTTTCTAACTTTTTAGAAACAAAAAACTAAAAATGGTTACCAAACATTTTCTGTTTTTTAAAAACAAAAATGGTTATCAAACTATATGGTTTTTGTTTTTTAAAAACAGAAAATCAAAAATCAAAAACTAAAACAAAAAAACCAAAAACGAAAAAAGAAATGGTTATCAAACGGATCCAAACAACTCAGCAACCAACACAAGAGGGAGTTTTCATTTATGCTTCTTAAACAAGAATATTGGAACGAAAGCTATATTAGGTAAGCTAGCCTCACATTTCAACAGAACTTAATCATTTAAACTCATTCTTAATTTGAATACATAATGAATTCGAAGTTTGATTTCTACTTTAGCAATTAATAATCACCCTTATTGGGAGGCCACAAAAATTGTTTTGAGAGAAGGATCACTTGTTTCCGTATATTCATATTTTCAGATCATTGATCAAACTCACCTTAAACATCTCTTTCCCGTATTCTTTCCAAAACAATCCTCATATTTTAAGAAACTTCTTATATATTTCATCGTTAAATTTTCAAGGGAATGAAATCAATATTTTCATTTATTTTGACGGTATTTAACAAATTATATGAATGAAATCAAATGGTGGGATCCACTTCAAACTTTGTAATCACTTGAAAATGTGTAATCTCATTGTTCCCACAACCTCATCAATCTAATTCCCATTTCTTATTCCATGGACCTCACCTATTTATTATAGTTACTTTTACAACTTTTACCCTTTCTCTTTAATCGAGTCCATAACTTTTTAATTAATTGTTTTATATTTTTTTTATTTCTTTTTCATTTATATTACTCATAATTTTTCTTCTAATGAAAAATTATTCCATTTTTATTAGTTGATTTGATTTTATTATAAAATAGGATAAAATTATCTTTAATTTTTAATTATTTAATTTTACTTGTCATTATTACTTAATATGAATATACTTTTTAAAATAGAATTCATTATTATTAAATATTAGAACAATAAAATAAATATTAAATGATGGTTGTTCTAATAAAAAATATATTTTAATTGATGTAATTTTATTTAATTATTCATTATTTATTAATATTAAATAAACTATTATAATAAAAAATCTTACTTTCAATAATATAATAATAAAAGCCGACATTAATATTTGCAATACATGACTGGACTAGAAACCCAATCAAGTGGACGATATCAGTAATTATTTACCATTTTATTCAAACTCAACCCCTACACTTGCGGGAAGCAATTCCTGCTACACTAGCACCTCTACAGAATCCGAGAGTAACTTTTAATGAAACACGATTCTTAACGCGTTTTGACAACTTATTTTGGAGCCACGTGTGATCGCATGTGTGGATGATTTTTCGGTCAAAGTTGGCAAGTCGAAAGACTTCGATTTTCTACGGATGACCTTAATGTTCTCAACTTCTCAAACAACTTCCAGCAGCCTATATAAGCATTAGATTAATTCTTCTCTTCAAAAGCATTTAGTTTTAGCCAAGTTATTCTATTTAGTGCAGCTTACTCTTAGTTACTTTCGTTGAGTAATAATATTTGCACGGAATCATATTTAGACCATTTCCAAAATCTAACCATTGAATGCATCATATCAAATATTGCTAGGTAAAAATATACATTTTTGTTTCTAATTAAAGTTTTAAAAATGATATACTAGTCTTTGAAATTTGAGCAGGACCACGTTTTGATCCCTCATAATGCTATTTTGTTTTACAAGAGATAGAATTGATAYGTGAGGTAATTTTTTTTTTCTTATGAACCATTTTTTAGTCATATCGTCTATTCATGCATACAACATTGTGGCTACAAGTAGTACACACAGGACAACCGTTATGGGTTGGTTCATTGGTCCAAAGGCCCAACGTAAATCACAAGGATTTAGACTAAGTTAATTTTCTATGTGTCTAGCAATACATGCAGGACGGTTGATAAACCACTCCCAGAATCGCGCACACTTTAATCTCCTGAAACTTAACCATGGTGGAATTCGCTTTCTTACCATTGAAAATTTATAAATATGAAATGTTAGAAAGGTATAATTTTACTTTCTTAAGTCAACTTTGGCATCTCTGCCTGATTAATATGAAGTTGATATATTCTATTGGCTGCCATACCAACTATATTTTTCCGAAAGTACCCAAGTTTATTCAACACACATGATGAGTTTTCATACTTATTTATACCTAAGGTGAGAAACCATATTTTCTTTACAAGTTATTGTTAAAGATCCAACATTGAAAGAAAAGGAACCTTACACATGTTTATAATAAATATGGACTACTCTTACCTTTCTCAATTGGTTTTGAGATGAAACATCGTGAATATTGTTATGGTATCAGAGCCCAAAAGCTCGAACAAGCATCCGAGGTCAAAAAATGGGATTCGGACAAGATTGATGAGCCACAAGATCAGCCACAATCTTGGGGGCATGTTAAGGAGAACACATTGAAAGAAAAGAGATCTTACAAATGTTTATAATAGACATAGACTACTTCTCTGGTTGCCAATTAGTTTTGAGATGGAACCTCATGAATATTGATAGTTATGRGGTGACATATTTAGACACATTTTTCTATATGTCCTACTTTTTTATTACCATTGATTTCAAAGGTAAAGAAGGATCAAATCATGTTTGTTTAGGGTTAATTCAAGTAAAAAGTGTATTCAAAAGAGGTGTTTTGTATTAAATTCTTGAACGATCATCTAATCATAGTCTAACCATGTATATATATAAGCTTTTGGCAACAACTAAAGTCGAAAATATAACAAAGTACACGATTTTGTGCACAAAAYAGAGCTAGGCGCCTAGCACCTCTGCAGAACCCGAGAGCAACTTTCAATGAAACTCGAGTTTTGACGCGTTTGACAGCTTATTTTGGAGCCACGTGTCATCCCACCATGTGTGGATGGTTTTTTGTTCAAGGTTGGCAAGTCAAAAAACTAAGATTATGCATCTCAACAATATTAGCATGGAATCATATTTTAGACTGTTTCCAAAAATCTCACCATTGAATGCATCCTAATCAAGTATTACAGGGTAAAAATATTCTTTTAGAAAATCTTCGCAATGGCAATGGTCGATGACCTCATTTTAATCCCTAATAATGCTATTTTGTTTTACATTAAAGAAAAGATCACATGTGAGACTTGAGCCGTGAGGCGATTTTTTTTGTTCTTGTTTTTTCTTATGAGCCTTTTTTGAATCTTATCGTCCATTCTTATTTGCATTCAATTTTGATTAGCAAACATGTAACGTGGTCCCATTATTCATTTGCATATACAATATTGTGGCTACAAGTAGTACACGTAGAGCAACCATCATAGGTTCATTCATTGGTCCATAGGCCGAAACGTAAATCACAAAGATTTAGAAGGAATGGGTCCAAATCCACAATGGCCACTTACCTGAGATAATTAATTTTTTCTATGTGTTGAGTAGTACACGCAGCACAATGGATAAACCACTCCCAAAATTACACATGCTCCTGATCTCCCAAAACTTAACCATGGTGGAATTCGCATTCTTACCGTTGAAAGATTATAGGTATGAAAAGTTAGAAAGGTATAATTTTACTTTTTTCTAAGTAAACTTTGGCCTCCCTGCCGAATTAATATGAAATTGATATATTCTATTGGATGCGCTACCAATTATAAAATTGTAATGGCATAAATTATTTGTAATATCATCCATTTCAATATATGAAARTGGGGCTGTGAGGTAGATTCAAATAATAAAGAAACCTATATATAATTTAAAGCTGTTGTTTTCGGGACCCCACCAGACACCTCCACGTGAACACGTTTTAAATTAGTATTATTTGAGTGGCTGTAAACAATTTATAGTAATATCTGTTTAGAAATAAATATGAAAATTCGAACTTCAAAACTGGTTGGAAGTTGTATAAATAAGCTTAAGATACTCCCACTTTGTTCACCAAATAAAGAGCCGAGTATTAGTAAGAGTAACAATGAAATTCTTTTCTGCTCCTCTGTTTCTGGTTGTCCTGCTTCCAGCAATGGTGGCAGCTGCCGCTCCCAGTCCCAGTCCCGTCTATCAGCCGAGTCAAGGCGGCCAATATGAGCCGATAAAAAATTTGAGTGACCCATACATTTCCGAAATCGGAAGGTATGCATGTATTGAGTACAACAGGAAATACCCGAGTCCTACACCACTTGTATTCCAGAAAGTGGTGAGTGGGGAAAAACAGGTGGTGAATGGATACAACTACAAGCTCATAATGTACATCAAAAGCGGCGGTCTAATTCCCCAGTATGAGGTCATCGTGTATGACATTCCATGGAAGAGCCACAGAGAACTTACGTCTTTAAATATCTACCACAATTAATGCCCCAAAATCATTCTCTACTGCCTACTACTACTCAGCCACCGACAAATAAAAAGGTTTCATGGTCTTCTACGTGTTACCCTCTTTGATTTTCTATGCTTATTGTATCTCTATCTTTCCCACCTTCTCTTCTTGAATCTCTGTTAAGTTTGATTTTATGTTGGAAAATATAATAGCTGAGGCATGGACAAAAACTACTAACTTCCTCCTTCACCGTTTTCGTGTTAGCCATTACATTACAATTACAAATATAAAACACTACAAACTATATATATGAGCCCAAGCTTGAAAGGGCTAGAAAAGTATAGAAATAGACAAATCGTTTTGGTAATTAAAATTTGAACTATACCTTTATTATTAGAAAGTTTTGAACGTTTGAAGTTTCAATTTAATGGTGATAAATTTTGAATGGTTATTTTCTATTGCGAGTTATTTACTTTTGTAAACCCTACATTCTTGTGGCATTGAACTCCCTTAGCTCGAAAGAGAATGGTAAAATTAATTCGGATTACAATTTCATGTTGTTCGAACGTTCACTTTTACCTTAAATTCCAATATGATTTCATTGAATTTTGTTTTTATTCAATTGAGTTTTAATAGTTTAATTATGAGTTCGATTTTTCGTTCTAGCCCTTTTTCTCTAGAGACTTAAATTTTTTTTTCTTGTTTAAAGAACACGATAGTAAGGTTTAAGACAACATTCGTATATGTATGTTTTATTCATTTAAATTAATTTCTAAATTTAACCAACTTTATTTGACCAATTAAGAAATTAATGTAATTACTTGATATTGAAAAGGCCRGGTAGTAAAATATACAATTCGAATGAATAATCAAAGGAAGAAACCTTTAGACATAAAAGAATCGGTTAAGCAGCTAGATATAGGAACTTATTCCTTGGTTGCAATGGGTCTTAATCAAATTAAGGCCAGTTAATTAATAGACATGGTAGTAATGGACTTAAAATGTCAAGACCGATCTTGTTGACATAAGTAGGTTAAGAAGCAGAACCGTCAAATTTAGAGGGTTGCGCTTAGGGTCTGGTATAGTGTCTTGTGATCGTTTTAGTTAAGTTGAATAGAAGAGCTCGATTTTCTTTCTTAAGTAATTATAAAACCTCAAACCAATATTTTCCCACACATTTAATTCATAATAAAATCAATTGCATATCATTTTACTCATTCATTTGGTTTTTAAAGAAAACTTGAAGGTAAACATAAGTTGAAGTTGGTATTCTTCCTCAATCTCAGATTCCACAGCCTTTCTTTTCTTCTTTCTTCTCTGGATACCAGGTCAAGATTCGCTTGACCTCTTTTCATCGGTAAATCATCACGGAATACTTCCATTTTATTACTTATAATGAGTTTGCACTTGCACTCTAATAATGCTAGTTCATTTTGATCCCTGATAATACTATTTTGTTTTACACTAAAGAAAAGACCACATGTGTAAATTAGTTGTGAGGCAACATTTTATTATTATTTTTATTCTTTTACAAGTCTACTTTGAATCCTTGCCTCCATTCATTCTTTGCATTCAGAGTAGCAAACATGTAACATGTAACAATGTGGTACCATTATTCATTTGCATACAATATTGTGGCGACAATAGTACACCTAGTAGGGGTGTTCAAAAAAACCAACAACCCGAGTTACCATGAGGCCGGGTTGGGTTGGATTGATTTTTAGAAAATCTGAAAGTTTAATTAGGTTACATGTTAAGGAAAATTTTTCTGGGTTCAACTCGAACTGAACCGACATTTATAATAGAATAATTAATATATATATATATACATACTTTTTTTCATCACACCTTATGGCTTCAGCAACAAGGTACCTTGGAAATGTGACGACGTTGATGTTGCGGAGGCTATGGCAACTTCAGCAGGTTTGCATCTTGCTCTAGAGGTTGGACTGTAGATAGATTTTTTTTTTTTGTCTAATTTTGATCAAGCCTAGGGGCTGAATCGCAAAAACGTGTCATTATTATAACACATTGTGTTTCGACATACAATTGAAGTTGTATAAATAAGCTTAAGCTACTTGTATACTCCCACTTTCTTCACGAAATAAAAGCTCAATATAGCAATAATGAAATCCTATCGATTTTTTTTTAACTAACATGGAGAGAAAGATCGACAACTTTGCGCAAGTTGCCACTATTTTCTGTTAAGGATCCCACATTGATAAAAGAAGGGACCTTTGTTGCGCCTCAGCTTAATATCTAGAGGGTAAGTGCAAGTGCACACTGTCACAAGTAATAATATGGAAATATTCCAAGTTCGACTCCACAGGGACTAGTTTTCTTTTAAAATTGATTTTGTAAACTGCTTGAATGAGCAATCGAGTTTGGGAATAAAAAATAATTGGTGAAATTGGTTGAACACGAAAAACACACGAAAATAATAGAATTTAAAAGGCCAACCCCCTACTACTGTTTAGTTCTAAAATGATGAATTAAACCTACCAAATGTGTCCGTAATTACACTCAATTTATGCAAACTGGTTCAACTCCTATTCCATACCGCTTTTGGTTTGTTTAGAAGTTTAGGCTAGTGTTTACATATGTCTATGCAACTCTAGAA